ATTGTGATTGCTCCATTCTTTGTTTACTCTGTCCTGATTTGATAACACAGCGCGGAAAATTTTAATGTTTTCCGTTTTGTTATCTCGCAACTCGACAGGTGTAGGCGTATCCAGATTACCTCGGGTGTTATCATTTGAGGTATAGAAAGTCACGAGAAGCACCGATTTACGAAATGATGATAAGTCGTACGTAAAATGGTAGACCGGGTAACAAATAAAATTATCTCAGCATCCAGAAATTTCAGAACTGGATTATATTTTACTTATTCGATAAGGATTGATGAAATATATAGACTAATATTTTTTCCCCCAAAATTTATATTCATACTGCCAGTTCGCATATCTATCAATTTTACCGAAATCTTTAGTAAATAGAAAGATGTGCACCGTGTGACGCCGGTGACCAAAGAGTTGATTTTTGTGTTATCACATTGTTATTAGTATTGATAAATAAACAGAAACGTGAATTTAAATATTTGTGACTTTTTTTGTAGAAATCAAAAGCTTTTTTATCCTTTGGCGGTTTAACCCCCCCCCCCCCCAATTCTTATATCTTTACGCCCTTCTTATCAAGAAATTTATTTATGATTAAGATCAAGGTAATGTACTTTAAGTTTTTCTGAAAAGAAATTAAAATTAGTAAAAAGAGAAATAAACAAATAAATTTAAACAAGAGATCCATGGGCCACAATGCATATCTGAATAACTGTGACCCCTCTTGTTCGACCATCAGCAGATTCTTTTTCTTACATATATAAATAATTTCATGTTAGATAGCCTATTCCCTGAGGTCATGATATGAACAAAGTTGAATCTACACTATCTGAGGATGTTTTTTTTTTTTCAATATAAACATGACTGATCATGGCTTTGCTCTTCTTGAGATTCTTAAAGATTTTTTGTATATGCATTACTGTATGTAAAACATTGATCGCCCATTGTGACCACATTCTACCCACAGGGGTCATAGTTTGAACAAACATAAATTAAATACTCATCGCGGATATATTTCTATATAAATCTAAATAACCATGACTTCGCTGTACATCCTCAAAAGATTTTTTAAAGACCTTTTCCTATATATTCTCTGGAAAACTTTTATCCCCGTTGTAGCCAATTCATACCACCCAGTGATCATTTTGAACAAATTTGAACCTGTACTATCTATGGAATCTTCTATATAAATATGATTAACCGTGACTTTTCCTTCTCACAAAAAGAATATTTTTAAAGATTTTTCTATTTATACCCATGTAAAACTTTGAATGCCCATTGTGGCCACACCCTACCCCTGCATGGGGACCATAATTTGAACGAATTTAAATCTACACAATTTTTTTTGCTTCCATATAAATTTGATTAAATATGGCTTTGCTATCATGAAGCAGAAGATTTATACATAAAAGATTTTTCCTATACATTCCATTGAAAAACTTTGATCGCTCATAGTGGCCACACTCTACCCCGGGGGTCATTATTGGAACAAATTTAACCTACACTACCTATGAATGCTTCCATATAAATATGACTGATCATGGTTTGCTGTTCTTGAGAAGAAACTTTCTAAAGATTATTCCTATATATTCCCATGTAAAATTTTGATCGCTAAAAGTGGCCACACTCTACCCCCCGGGGTTCAGGATTTGAACAAATTTGAATCTACACTATGTCAGAAAGCTTTCACTAACTTTTTCTTCTTTTCTGGCTCAGTGGTTTTTGAGAAGATTTTTAAATGTCCCCACCCAAGTTTTACTCTTTCTTAATTGCACCCCCCTTCATTTGAACAGACTTGAATCCCCTTTACCCAAGAATATTTTGTGCCAAGTTTGGTTGAAATTGGCCCAGTGGATCCGGAAAAGAAGATGAAATGGTAAAAAAAGTTAATGACAACGAAAACGAAGTCGACAAGGACAGACAACGGACAAATTTTGATTAGAAAAACTCACTTGAGTCTTTAGCTAAGGTGAACTAAAACATGTTTTCCTAAAGTCACAAAATTAAAGTATAGTATTTAAAGGATCTAAAGAGTTTTCTATTTTCGACGAGTTTTTAACAAATTTCATGTTTTTGCCCCAACACTTCGTAATGTTCACCGGGCCCTGCGGTCTTGATGTCAAACAGCCTGATTTAAAATAAGAGAGTTATGTACTTAAAAAAACCCCCACATACTCTGTCCCAAATATACTTTTGTACTTGAATTGGAGATCCCCCTCCATTTTTTTTTTTTTTTTGGATGAGTTTAAAGTGCATTTTCACGTTTTTTGCTCCAAAACACCTCGGCGCTTTTATGTCACCCTGATTCGTAATAAAGTAGTAGCCACGACCCAAAAGAAAAAAAAAATCAGCTGGTTTTCAAAATTTCACATTTACATGTAATTGTACATATTTATAGATATCAAAGAGTTTTTTTATTAACCGCGACGATTTTATGCAAATTTCATGTCACTTTTTGGCCAAAAACTCTTAAACTCATTCATGTTTTCTGACAAGCAATCTGATTTATAATTAAAGGGTTCTGTACTTATGTTTGCAAAAGTTCTATACCCCAACCAGTGTTTTCAATAAGATTTTCAATAGAAGGAAATATATTTGCAACAGCAGGAAACCAATCTCGGCGAGGGGTCTGGGGTCCGCCTCAGGCCCCCAGTGGGTCCAGGGCAGAGCCCTGGTAGGGGGCCCAGGGGGCGAAGCCCCCTGCCCAAAAACGAAAATTAGCATTTTTTCCTAATTTTTCTTACCTCTCAGGCCAACAAAAGTACCGTATTTTGTCACATTTCTGTCCTATCCATTACATAATTTAATCTAATAAAGCCATATAAAAACTGTTTTTTTCCTTTTACTGATTTGTTATATGGACTTTTGACAGACTGAGGTTTTTGTTCTGAAAACTAGGTGTCTATAAAACATTAAGACAACTTACGTATGAAATTCTTGCACAGACAATTGTCTGTGCTAGAATTTCATAGTGAAAATACTACATAATTCGTCCCTTTCACATAAAGTGGTCAGGATAATTATTCAAAATTAAGAAAATAATTTATTTGATATAATTCTAAGACCTTTAAGACACCTTTGGTACAGTACCAAAAAATTAAAATATTCTTGTTTTGTAAATATTCTGGAATCTTAGACTAAACTATCATACACTTTTTAAGGTTTTGCCAAAGGTCAACGTGTCCAAAAATTTATATTTACAATAGCTTCTAAACCATGTGGTATATAAAGTTCAAACTTTTACAGTTTATAAATATATCATTGATTAACAGATAGAAAGTATCACTTGATAACAAATACTTAAAGAAAGTATTTATCGAGAAAAATTCTTTTTAAAAAATGCATATATTTTTAAAAAATACACCTAATTAATTCCGTACTTTTAGTGAAAGCCATCATTGCAGAAACAATATATGTTTATCAATGAAAGGCAAGCTGGACTTCGATAGCCTCTGGAAAGTTGGTTTCCCTGTTTATTTTGTCCAAATGTTAAGATTTGAAACCGAAAGTACATTGCAAATGGCGGATTTTATAGGGGTCTTGTCTTTATACATGTCATGCTTTCAATAACAGCCTTTCAGAGACCATTCACGTCCAACTTGCCCTTCATTGATAAACACATATTATTTCTTCAATGATGGTTTTCACTAAAAGTACAGAATTAAGCAGGTGCATTTTTTTAAAATATGCAAATTTTTTGAAATTGTTTTTTCTCAAAAAATATTTGTTTTTAAATTTTTGTTTTTAAGTGATACTTTCTATCTGTTAATCAATGATATATTTATAAACTGTAGAAGTTTAAACTTTCATAAAAACCTTCTTCAATGGGCAAAGTAATACTGTTACTGTATTTCAAGAGATCTAACACAAATAATCAAGAATACAAATTTTACATTTTCAGTTTTAGGAAATTCTGTAAGAATTCAAACGTCTCACTCACGACTAAAAATATGTGATTTTCATTTGTAAGGTCTTAAAATTATATCGGTCTAGATATAAATATTTGCTGTTGTGTTTGATATTTTAATCTTGACCTAGCTTGTGGAGTGACACAGTAAATGTTAAAAACTTTTTTCCTACTGTCGGCCGTAGATACCTGGCGCTTGTGCCAATGAAGTCTACAATTCTTAATAATCTCGTGCCGATTTTGGTCATATCTTTGAAGCTAAAGTAATAATCGCGATTGTTGATTTGTGAATTTTTTATGAGGTTGGAATTATTCATTAAAAATATATTCTTTAAACTTTACTCTCGGCGTCTCGCACGTTATAGCATAGATTTGGACCAAATAAAACTTCCATGAAAAAGAGCACACTCAAGGGAAGTTACTCTAGATCATGTAGATAGTCGCGATAAAATCTACAGATTTCACGAACCAACCCCGGCAAAATTGCAATGACGGATATCTCATAGCCGGCAAAATTTCCCGTACAGGCGGTTAATTTTGCCGGTTGCCGGCTCTTATCGAAAACACTGCCAACTAGCCCAAAGTCTAATAAATCATGGCTTTACCCAAATTACAACATGTAAAAAGTAATGCAATTTCCAATGCTAATAAAGAAATTCAGCCAAACCAACAATAGTATATCTTTTATTTCTTTTTCATGTAAAGTACACATACATATGCGCCTGCACAAACATGCGATCACGTGGTGAATCAAGAATGAATTGTAAATACTATACTTAACATTTGTAAAATACAATTGTATGCGATTGATGTCAAATAATTTACGTAGTTCTAGCAAAAACACTTGGTTCCCTGGTATTAATTTTTGTTCCGCAGGACTCTTCTAGTACTCTTCTTAAATTGGTATTAAGCTCATGAATCAATTTCTTTTAAACGATTTTGAAATAAATATTCAAATTAATCGTAAAAACAACTTTAAAAGAAAAGAAAAGATGCCACTTTTAGAAAACTTAATACTGATTTAATTCAATTCTTATAAGCGTAAGATATGCGAAGGAAGACAGTTTTTATTCCAACTCTCTGTTATTAAACATATGTCTTACAATCATTTTCCTTTCCTCGTCTTATCCTACAATATCAATTGGTTCTCCTGCTCTGTAAAAGATAAAAAAAACCCCCAAAATTGTAATTACCTGGATGACAACACTGATTTCAGGGTTGGGTTTTGAGCCTGTTAAGCTAAAAAGAAAACATTAAAAATCGATTGGCATGATCTAAAGAAGGTGTATTCAACTTACTCCATTTCGCAGATAAATCCAGCCTTGACTGTACAGAAATGGTCGTTCCAGTGGAAATTATCCGGCGCAAAGAACATGGCACAGTCTTGGTGACTCTGGTAGTTGTCCGGCTGCTTCGGTGACCAGTCCTTAAATGATGCCATATTCTGGGTAGATGTCCATACCCACTCTCCCTCAAAGACAATGTCTGATAGTCCTATCCAGTACCCCTCTGCAATAGAACTGATACATGTAATTTGTATATGATTAGTGGTGTAAGACAAGAGGTGCACTTCTCCCTCCTCCCTTTTTATTTAACTATCTCCTTATCCCCTCCATCCCTCACCCCATTTCCTTATGCCTTTTTTTCTTTGTTCTCAGTCCCCATGCATCCTTACATAGCCCCTTTCCGCATTCCATACACAAAACCATGGACCCTCCACTCCCCTTATTTCGAAGATATGTTTCAAGGTCAACGGAAAGAATAAAAAATTATCTTGAAATAGGAAAAAACAAACAATTTATATTCCTTGAGAAGGATGCTTTTGAGCTACTTGTTCACCATCACATCATTATTAGCAATATACAAATTAAATGATTTGTACCTCCTCACTCTCTCCGTTCCCTTTCTGCTAACTTAATCAAAAAACTCGCCTTGTGGATTTGTTCCAACGATATGTGAGCGGAGAAAGTTGTTTTCGTCAACTGTCTCGATTTCCACCAGCCTCGACCCACGCCTTTGGCAAAATGACTGAAATTTCATGCTTATAAGTATATAAAATAAAATAAATAAATGGAAAAATAAATACATTTAATATTTGTTCCACAAAATCTAACTAGTTAAAATAAGTGGAGGAGAAGCAATTAAAAAAAAACCCGCGGATAAGTAGTATGATAAGACACAGAAAATCAGAATTTTTACGCGGAGAAGCAGTATATCGCGATCGAATCACGGAAAAGTGGAATCGCGTCTGCAATGAAATACTTTCTTCTGTACATTGAAGTGCATCGCGTCTAATTCTACTCCCTTTTGGATAAACTTTAAAAAAAATAATTATGTTTTGTGTCGTATTACACCAAAAAGTATATCAGAGAACAATTAAGTATTTTGTTGTATTTTTTTTTAATACCTCAAGGGTAATTTTAAAAAAAAATGTATCACTGTTGTTATGTATATACATGTATACGACCTTAAATTATTTTCTTATTAAACAATCGAGCTGATTGATTGATACAAGTCTATACCCCGGCTTCGATGAAGTCCTCAGGAACGTCTTTTATGAACAGGTAACAAGAAAAACCGTGCTTTATCCAGTGAGGAGGGCAGTCTTCCGACCACACAACTGAAAAATCCAACGATTCTTATAAATCAGTAGATAAATCTAAAATATCTTTAATTGCAGAATATAAAACACAAGTTTCTTTTCATGAATAGCCTTTGAGTACAACTGAAGACTGCGTTTTGGTGTTGTATTTTAATAAGTGAATCAAGTGAACTGTAACATCACATAAATAAATAAATAAATAAATAAAATTAAATGAAAAAAAAAAAAGAATAAAAAATAAATAAACTCCTTCCCCAAACGTAAAAAATACTTATTCCGGGGGGAGAAGGGGTGAGGTGGGGTGGGGTGGGGGATGAGGGGGGGGGGGTGTAGAGTCGCTTTCCTTCATTTTGGAAGGTTCATATAGTATGACTCTTCTTCCCACCTCAAGAGTCTAAGTGTTGTGTTTTTAGTTAATTTTTTCTATGCACATTTAACAACTCCGCAAATTCAAAGAAAGGGGGGGTTAAGAGGATTTCTTCTTATCCCCTCCCCCTGATCCCCTTTAAATCCGCACATACATAAAATAATTTTTGATAACAACCATACAAAATACTTTTTTCCTGCAATACAAACAGTTTGATCATATGTTGCCTATACATTATTTAATATAGCTAGATGAAGGTATATAAGATATTTGTAAACTTACCATTTGTGAAGCAAACAAAGATGAATGCAAGTAACCAGTTTTCTGACATTTTTTTCAGTTTTCAAAGGTAAGTCCTAAGTTCTTATCATAGCAAGGTTATATACTCTGGACATTACAGGGCCTAACAATTTTATCTATGATTGTATAAAAGAAAGTTTACAATGAGAGATTATATAGTTTATTAGCTGTCATATTTGTACAATGCCTCTTAGTACAACGTATATATATATATATATATATATATATATATATATATATATATATATATATATATATATATATATATATATATATATATATATATATATATGTCGAGTAAAATTACACTTTACAGTAAACAAATAATTGCCAACGCACCACGTGGTATTTCCTTTTGATCATTTGCCTAATCATCACTAGTATATCTTATATGCTATCTTTTCTAATACAATAATATTGACAAATATTGAGACTCTTCAATGACCTTCTTGCCCGAAAACCTATTTCCCAACGTGCTAAGAGAACCCTTTTTGCCCAGATATGAAGCAGGTGATTTCCTACAGTGTATTGTGGTCAGTGTGGTTGCAACGTTAACAGAAGCGGCCTCCAATAAAAAATAGAATAACTACCATATGGTCTAGAAATCACTCAGAACCTTGGTGTCCTTAACCGGTGCACTCAACTTCCGTAACTAATTCTTGAAATTGTCGTTTTCTGAGTATTTAATGCCGTGGCTATTTATAGAAATCATTCTTACATTTGCCAATCTATTTTGGAAATGATATTCAATAGGAAAAAGTTTTAATTTTTTTTTTATAATATAAATTTCCTCCAAGGGAACACACCGCAGACATCATACTGACTAATGATTCAGGAAGTCTGTGTTCGGATCATATTCTTGTTCTTCGCATTTTCCTCATTTCCTTTTACACTTGGTGCCGTGACCATGCGCTGACAGTGATAGATGAAAGACCTGCCAGGGAAGAGTCCGGTATAGTGCCTTTGGGTGCGAAGGCCTTTAAGAACAGGGGATCATGGCGGCTAGTCGGGTAGCTCGATAGCTCAGTTTGTAGAACAGCTGACTAGTAATTCAGGGGGCCGAGGTTCCAATCGTGGTCTGCTTCTTCGAATAACTGAACCGTGTTATTAACAATAGAGTGATTCTTACAATCTGCAGAACATTCCTGATGACCCGACCTTATTCGATAAATGTTAGGAAGTATTACCGATCAGTAAGAGAATGAAATTAATAAACATGCAGTAAAAAAAAAAGAACCAAAGCAGAAAGACTTTAACCATAAATTCACGATCTTCAAACACTCATTGTAGAATCTCAATAATCAAACGCTATTAGTCCTTATTACTATCAGAACAAATTATACCTAATTATTAAACCAACTACATTTTGACACATCACTGGCAAGTTATGGCGTCTCCATCTGAGAAACAAATTTTCAAGAGGGACGTTAAGCAGTAAACAAAAACAAACAAACATATTGAAACGCCACCACTTGCCGGTAGAAGGCTGCATTTAGACCTATACTTGGCGCTCATGGCCGTTGAGCAGTGAGGGATCCTTTTTGTGCTAGTATTTACCGCGACACGAGACCTCGTTTATACGGTATACCGTCTATGAGATTGATAAAATTCAATATATATTTTTAGACAGTCAGTAAGAAATATTTAAAGGGTTTAATTTTATAGATATACATGAACCTTTTTTTCCGTTCTGGAGTTTTTGTTAAAGTTTAGTTCAGCACTGCCAGAGGAAAGTACTACTCATATCTATGTCTCTACGTCTTCGTATCAATCTGCGTGTGAGCTATACATGTAATTTAAATAGATACTGTGCCATCATTATATTTCTTGGTGGCTCAATATTCGTTGAATTCGTGCGTACACTTCATCCACGAATTTAGATCCTCCACGAATTAATGTACAAGGATTCAGTTATATTTCCTTTTTGTAGATCTGATTAAATATTCGAGATTACGTCCCCCATGAACGAGTAAAATTTAAGTAATCAACGAAAATTGACTCCTCAAATTTTGATGACTCCACAATAACATTAATTTTTTCCCCCAAAAATGCATTCAGTTTGCCGGTAAAGTAATGAAAGTAATTGAAGAAAACAGACCTGTCTAAAAAAATGAATTTCGAATTTTTCATAATGAGATTTTAAAGTGAAGAAGCGGTTATGTGTATTTAGCAACAAAGGGGAGCGGGCCCAGAGTTATATTTATATGTATAAAGAGCCACAGACATTTTCTTTTTTCAAATCTGTATAATAATTTGTCATGAAACCTCATTAATACAGTGGGAAGGTACGACTGATATAAAGCATATTCGTGCAAAACCTTGTTACCATGCAGTCTTTAATGTATATCGTTTCTAAAAAGTGAAAACTAAGTAAAATGTGGTCGATGTAAGGGATGGGACAGGGATCCATTTGAAAACTATAGGTGATGATAAATTTGCATGATGAATAATATAAAACCCTTGGGAAGTCATCCTATCAAGATCAAATCTTGCCCTCCCTATCTTCGAAATTCAGGAAAAAGCCTCACATTCAACCTCCTAAGCAGACAAGAAAATCCGTGTCAAATTATTTTTTTCGGATTTGAAAAAAATTCAATATGTATCAAAGGAATGGAAATGGAAAGCGGGGATTTTGAGGAGGCTGGAAAGGGATTTGGTTTAAGCATTGTCACTCCCTTAGCCCCAACACATTGTTTACAACCACGCACAACAGTACCGAAGCTCTGGAAAAGACTTAATTTAATGAAACTTGGGATATTACATAAATGTATAATATAAGAATTTAATTGACATTATTTAGTGAAAAAGTTTAGTTGTAATTTTTGCAAATGAAATAAAATCAGATGCAAAACAAAAACAAGGTCCAATCGTATACCTGTGGATCCTTATTTATGAATTTATGTTTATCTAAATACTACACATATATACATATATTTCAAATCAAGAGGCTTTTTTATATGCGTTGTCAATTTAAACGAAAAGAATAATTGCAATTGTACCATTCATATTATAGTTTTTTTCCTCTTCAAGAAGAAGGTACAGTTTTGACTTTATTGTGCCCTAAAAATTTGATGTTTTCAAAAGGTGTTGAAATTGGCATAACTATGAGTTGCACATGAGTATATGAGTGTGATAATTCATGAAAGAATACGGCATAAAAGAGGAGCATTCAATGCCTTTTACGAAAAGTGTTCAGCTTAAATCTAAAGTTTGTTGTTACATAATGACACGTCAATTTCTTTAAATTTTAGAAATCAATATTCGTCGCAATGTTTTAAGACACCCCACTTTCTGAGACTAGCAACCCAAATTTTGCTGAAATTGGGAATTTTTGAAGTTGCGAGTGAGTGAAAGACTCCCCTTTTCTGTAAATCTCTCGTATTGCAACAAATATGTACATAATTACAGTATTTTTTTTTTTCTATTGAAGTTAATGCAACACGTGTATCGATCGAACACGTGTTTATCCGGTGTTTATGTATAGTGCCAATCTGATTGGTTATTATATTTATAGAATACAGGTATTCGAATGAATGTGAGAAATTACGTGAGATCGAGGGCTCTTTCCCTCTAAGTGCAGACTGGCTTTTCCACTCCAACTTGCACTTACAGTAAATTAACCGTTTTCCCCTTTCTGAACAGCTGGGCGTGTCACTATGCAACAATCAATGTTCAGAAGAAATCTCAAAAAGTGTCATTCAAAGAGCTAAGCCCACCAGAGGCAGGAGAAGGGAAAATTTACCACTTTAATGCAAACGATCCACAGAAGGACAAAATGTACGTTCAACTAGGACCTAAAGTCACCTGCTCATTCACAACTATCAATTCTGTTTACTCCGCTACAAAATATAGTGCATTGCAACCGCAAAGTGAAAGAAGAAATAAATTCTTCTACTTGAAAGCCTTTACAAATGTAATACAACAAACAGAAAATGCATTTCTTTAAAGAACAATCATCTCATGTTAGGAAATATACAATGGGGGGGGGGGGGGAGTAAATCAAGCAACATTCAGGAGGATACTAGGACCTTGGGTCACCCGCAAATAGTTTGTTATTTTGCGTAGTAATAAAATATCATATGAACTCTTCAGGCATTAAAGGCACAAAAGTAAATTCATCTATATCAGTACGATTACTGCAAGTCACCTTATATTTTTACTGAATTTTAATAGACATAGTTTTCGAAAGTTTACTCAAATACAATCATATTAATAACTTTACATCTATCTATTTTGTATCAGAACAGCACAGACGTGAAAGTAATGTTTTTAACGTTTAAACACACGACGACAAGGTTTTGATAGGTCAGGGCTATAAGAAGCTGTTGGGTAGGATCCCCCCTCAATAATTTCCAGTACATTCTCTACTATAAAAACAAAGAAAATTCTTTTCTTGTGTCCCTTCAAAATTGTTTTAAGTATCCTAGCCTGGCATTTCACAAATTCGCAGATCTGATTCATAAATAAATTTTGATTAATTAACAAATTTTCCCTTTATTTTAGATTAGGATTTAAATGTTGATAAGGTTAAGCTCTTCAATGTTTAACTGCTTAACTTTTTTCAAACAATATTATTATCGGCAACTGGAGCAGCCGACTATTTGTAATTTTGTTAGAAAGTACACATGGGGAAATGAGTCTTGTTTTAAATTTTTTTTTTATTCGTTCAGTATTATCATCAGTCATTTAAGAAACTGCATGGACTTAGATAAACTAGTGCCCTGTTCACATGGAGAATTTAATTCGAATTAAACGTAAGTTACTGCGAATTAAATTTGAACCGCGTTCACACGGAGAATTTAATGCGAATTAGTTTCATTCGAATTAATTTACTGCGCATTAAATTACTTCGCATTAGCTCCGTGTGAACGCTAAGCGAAGCTAATTCGAATTAAATTTTGACGTATGCGTAAGGGCAGAATTAAGTCAAAGACCACTTGTCGGTGGTCAGATATAGTAACTTGTGCTATTTTTGAGTGGAAAACCAAAGAAAATTATGTTAATCAATAAAATGTGTACAGACACTATGAC